GAGAGTGCATCCCCGATCATTACCTTTGTCCGACAAAGGGGCTGATCCTGTCACTATGATCACCCACTCAGATGAATTCTCAGACTGTCCCAACATACCTAGGTTTTGACCCCCGCTAAGAATCTCACTGATTGGCATATCAAAGACAGCCCAATCCGACACTTAGTGCAGTATCATAATCGAGTCTAGGGGTCAGGTGTAACTTTCTAGTTTTGCTCACTAATCTCCATGGTCCAGGGCAATACTGAAAATCTGGTCCGGTTCAGGGTTTCAAGTAAACCTACACTGCGTGTGCTTTGGGTCTCACCCTGGCATCTGAGACAAGCCACCCCAACACTTGGCAGCACACCAGTGTCAGCCTTAGTAGGATAAATCTCCCCAGACTTATCCAACGGCTGTGAACATTCTAAACTAACACGAGTCTCGTTAAGTGTCCAGTTTAAGGGTATTACACAGAAGCACACCATAAGAACATGAATCAAATATGCACTTTATTCATTTACAATAAATGTCATAAGTACATCAATTTGATTGGAGCTAAGGACATACACTGTCTAACACTCCATCCAAATTCTGAGGTTTTCTAGTCTAAGGTCTCCCAATTACTTTGGAAATGAAAGAGTCTCTCGTTTTGTTTACTTTGTTTGGAGCAAGAAAAGCAAACCTGACAAAAACCACGTATGAAGTATACTTCCTTGATCAAATATTGAAATATTAATCCTCTTCAACAACTTCTGAGGGATAAATCTTTATACACCTACAACTTCCTAGATCCCAAAAGAATCCAAGAAACATATATGAGACATGTATACAATTGGATTTGTCTTTATTGAGAAAGAAGGGAATCAGAGATAAAGATTAGGAATTCAGAAAGGAGTTGGGTGTCACTACAATTATGTGGCAGAAGCAATGCCTATTTCCACAATTTCATGTCCCCTATGCTTAATTATGGGAAGAGGGACAATGATACAAATAGAGTTCTAAAGATGATACAGGTGAAATGAAGGTTCAAAACTATTGGAGCCTAATGCATATTTATTTATCTGGAATTGCTGTATGCCTAAGATTCCAAATGTTCACTTGAAATTGAAAACGTCCATAATCATTCTGTAAGAGGTTTAAGTTCAAGCATTTCCATATTCCTAAATCCAATCCACTAATTTGGATGCAGTCCTTTAGTTGATCATGACACTTTTTGTCTCTTTTGGATCCAAAGGCAATTTCTCTAGATTTGCTTGATTGTTCATATAATTTTCATCAGTCAAGGCATTAAATACAGAGACAAAATGCATGGGCAGATTAGATAAAATAAATTTAGTTTGACATATTGGAAACACCTTGGATAAATTAACTTAGGAATTGGGACTTTAAAACTTATGACTCACAATAGTACTCTCTAAAAGGTCTCACACTTACCATGTAACTTATTGACTACAAAGAAGTTTCTAATTGTCTAATGGTAAATACTTAAAATTAGAAGTTTCTAACTGTCTAACTAAAAAAACTGTCATGGATCTGTACTTGTTCCATGATTTGTCTATGACTTGTTCAGAATGACTGAGGAAACATGAAAGGATGCATGGTCAACAAATTTATTAGGTTAAATTACAAAGACCCCCCTGTACTATGGGGTTTGTGACAAAGACCCCCCCCCCCTATACTTTGTTTTGCGACAAAGACCCCCTTGTACTATGACCGTCAAACAAAGACCCCCTTCTGTTAGCTTTCCGTTGAAATCCGCCGTTGCAATATTTTTTAGTCCCCATACTACCCTTGTAAGAAAAACACTGTTCATCTTCCCCGACCTCACAATACAGGAACAACAGCGGCAGTAATCCCTTCTATCTCAGATTCCTTCACATCTCTCTCTCTCTCTCTCTCTCCCCCTCTCCCCCCCTCTTTCTCTCTCCCCCAATTTCTCTTCTTCCCCTTCCCTTTTCTCTCCTCCCCTTTCTTCTTCAAGGGCTACAGTCTATAGGACAACAATTATTTCCCCTTTCTTTATGTTTTTCATGCCTCTCTCTCTCTCTACACCGACAAGATGTCGGCGAATCCCTCTGGCGATGGCGCACACATACTAGTATTTCCTTTTCCTACGCAGGGACACATGCTACCGCTTCTGGATCTCACCCACCAGTTGGCCATTCGTAGCTTAACCATCACCATACTCGTCACACCCAACAACCTCCCCTTTCTACATCCTCTTCTCTCCAAACACCCTTCCATCCAAAACCTCGTCTTCCTTTTCCCCCATCACCCATCTCTTCCCCCCAGCGTTGAGAATGTCAAGGACATCGGAAACCGCGGCAATACTCCCATCATACGCGCCCTTTCTGCACTTTCCGATCTCATCACCCAATGGTTCAACACTCACCCTTCCCCACCGGTAGCCATCCTCTCTGATTTCTTCCTTGGTTGGACCCAGCACCTCACTCATCGCCTGGGTGTACCCCGGATTGCCTTCTACTCCTTCGGTGCATTTTTAGCCTCCATTCTCGGCGTTCTCTGTCCGAAACTTGGAACTCTACATCCCTCCTCATCTCCCATCTCCTTCCCCAGCCTCCCACATTCCCCTTCCTTTCCTTACAACCACCTTCCCCTTTCTTTCCTTACAACCACCTTCCCTCTATAATTCATCTCTATAGGGAATCGGATTCTGACTGGCAGATCGTCAAGGATGGCATGATCACAAATTCCTCGAGCTGGGGGTGCATTTTGAACACGTTCGATGCGCTGGAGGGCGTGTATCTAGATCACCTAAAGAAGGAAATGGGTCACCACCGTGTTTGGGGTGTGGGCCCTCTGGCTGTGATGGAGGGTGCTGGTGTTGGTGCTAGAACTGATGAACGAGGTCGGCCCAGTTCGGTGTCACCTGTTGATGTGTTGGAGTGGCTCGACCGTTGCCTGGACGAGTCTGTGCTTTACGTTTGTTTTGGTAGTCAGGTGTTGCTGCCGAAACGACAACTGGAGGCCTTGGGAGCCAAGCTGGAAAGAAGTGGGGTCAGATTTATTTGGACCGTTAAGATGATGATGTCGGGATAGGAAGCGGATGATCGCAAGGTTATCATTAAGGAGATCGAAGATTGGGTGGCAGGGAGAGGTTTGAATATAAGGGGATGGGCCCCACAAGTCCCAATACTGAACCATGGAGCCATGGGTAGGTTCCTGACTCACTACGGGTGGAACTTGGTGATGGAAGGGATTATGGCAGGGGTGTTGTTGCTAACCTGGCCGAGGGAAGCTGACTAGTTCATGAATGTCAAGTTGCTAACGATTGAGAGGTTTAAGTTGCAAATCTTTTTCTTGTCTTTCTTTTCTGACTTTTCTCATGGCGGGATTGCAGAACCAGCAACTTAGCTCAGGCGGTGGAGAGAGAAGACCAAGGAGAGTCTGAAGAAAGGGGAGGAGAGAAAGGGGAAGGGGCAGAAGAGAGATCGGGGGGAGAGAGAGGGAGATAGAGAGAAATGTGAAGGAATCTGAGGTAGAAGGGATTACCGCCGCTGTTGTTCTTGTATCGTGAGGTCAGGGAAGATGAACAGTGTTTTTCTTACAAGGGTAGTATGGGGATTAAAAAATATTACAACAGTGGATTTCAACGGAAAGCTAACGGAAGGGGGTCTTTGTCTCAGACCCCATAGTACAGGGGGGTCTTTGTAATTTACCCAATTTATTATGTACATTGAAATAAAAATGGTTTATAGTCTTACTCTAAAATAAAAATGGTTAGACTACATGTTTTATCCTCGTATGTTTACTCTCTCAACTTTTAGAAATAAAATGCTAATTATAAATGCTCATAAGCATATTTATTATCTTTTTCCAAAAAAAGCATATTTATTGGGATGAAACTCTACAGAGAATTAGGTTATAGGAATTTAACATTTTAGAATTTTGATGAACTACCAGATACTTGCCCAGCAAATTCTAATGAGAGAGTATTTTGCCAAAACTGATTGCCATGTATTGGCCTTAATGATGTTTCTGGAGATCCTTGATAGTCTTAGGTGATTAGGGTCATTAATGGTCAAGGTTATGTTTTGATGTTGTATTCTATCTTGGACCCCCCCTGCTCTTTTGATATGTCCTTGCCTTCAGATAGAGCCTATATGCATGCTACTACAGTAATGAGAATAGATGTTGTAGTATCCTCCTGGTCAGAGTACAACTTGAGATCAGTTGTTTCTTACTACTTGAGCTATTAGATGTTTGGATGTCTGGACTTGGTGAGTTATCCAAGATCACTTTGACATTTCTTAAGCATGTTCTGCATCTACCTGTCTGGTGTATTGGTATTTTGTGTGCATTCATCTAGTTATGAATTGATTTATCTAATATTAAGACTGATTCTGTGGCACACATCTTACTAATTCTTGAACTAACTACCAATTTTATGGTTCAATTGCATTATAAGCTTGTATGTAAATTGTAACATCAACTGACATCCAGCTTTTCTCTGCCTGGGCACGTCTGATTGATGATTGATTATTATTTGAAAATTTGATCAGGTCGTCATGAACTCTTTGAGAGTATGGGCATCAGCCCTGACGCAGTTGCTCATACAGGTGAAGCATTGGCACTCTCAGAGTTGTCCCTCAAATTCCTTGCACCATTAAGAGTATGACTCCCTACTTTTCTTTTCCTCAGTTAGAAAGGATGATACTTTTCTGACTCATTGTGATTTATATTCCATTGCTATACTTTGTTGGTTGTATTCAGTTTCAAACTAAAAGTTGGAGTTGGCATATTTTAATCTGATGGTATTTGAATTATTTCAGACTAGACATTCAAATTTGATTAGTTTCAGTATCTATGTTCTCACGGTGTTCCATGCACAGCCAGAGTGGTGATCGATTCGTTGTGATGGTCAGGATATCTGGCTCTTCTTCTGCACGGTTATTCTTTGAGCACTTGATCTACAAGCTACCAAATCAAGAGGTGCTACTTTCGTCCTTAGCCTTAATTTCACTTTGTTTGGCAACTTATTATTGATCCAAAATACTCTATTGTTCAGCCCATTTTGGAAGCAAAGGCAACAGCTGTTTGGCTGGACAAAAATTACCGTCCTGTCCGAATTCCGACAAAGGTGAAAGCGAAGCTAGTTCAATTCCTTCGTAGTGAGGAATCCTGAGAGATTACTTTGCTTGGAGCTTTAATGGTAGAAAGGTTTCTTGGTCGAAGGGCTTACTAGTTTGGTTAATCTATCTACAAACTAGCGTTGAATGCATTACTTATCATGTGAATCACATCGACTGGTTCATGCTTCAAAGCTAGAAATATTTTGAGGATTGGATATTGTTTTGTTTCTTCAAATAATGCTATTAGATCTACAAATGTACGGGTGTTAAAGGGATGTGGAAACCTTGATCATTGGTTTCTATATTTATTACCATCCTCCCACATGACACGGGGTGGGAATAAGTTGAAACTCTAAGTTCTGATCCTGCAAATGCGTTTTGCGTTGTAGTAGTTCACATAGAGCTGGAAGTTTCTGTCTTTCAATGCCATGGAGAGGGCCTGGATCTCCTACAAGCAAAAACTCTGCACGTTTGGTACAAGTATGTTAAATTTAGGGGGTGTTCTTTTTTCAAATTTTGAGAGGGGGAAAGTTGGTCAATGGGATTTTGGTTCTCATTGACCAAGAATCCCATGTGGGATTGTAACTTTGGTTTTCAAATTTTGGGGATTGCTTCATCATGGGGAGCTTTAGGTGCGATTGTAACTTTGTGGAAAGAGGATGTTGTTGTAGGGGTCGAGGAATTAATAGGAGATCACTGAAATTCAGGTAGGTGGTAGATGGTTTTGATTGGGTTTTAACAAATGTATATGGCCCCAATGACTACAGACAGAGAAAGAAACTGTGGGAAGAGTTGAGTGATATTAGGGGCCTTTGGGAAGGACCCTGGTGCGTGGGAGGGGATTTTAATGTGGTGAGGTTCAAAGAGGAAACTAATAATCTGATTCAGAGGGTGACTACAAGCATGAGGAATTTTAATCAGTTTGTGGACACCTTTGAGCTTAAATAAATCCCTCTTCTAAATCACAATTTCACCTGATTCAACCTACAATTTAGGCCGTTTTGCTCCAAGCTAGATAGATTCCTGTTTTCAACAGATTGGGAAGAGCATTGGAGGAATTTAACTTCTAGGGCACTCCCTAGACTTACCTCAGACCACTGGCCCATATTGATGTGTAAGGAGGAATTAAGAGGAGATAGACCTACCCCCTTTAGGTTTGAGAACATGTAACTGGCTCATCCGGGATTCATTGAGAAAATCAGAGATTGGTGGGAGCAATGTAATCTATCAGTAGAGTGGAAGGGTATGAAATTCCACAAGAAGCTTCAATTTCTAAAATCCAAGATAAAAGAGTGGAACCGATTGGAGGAGAGAAAGCAGGCTTTGCTGGAACAATTAGAGGACTTGGATTTGAAGGAAGTAAGAGGTCCCTTTGGAGAGGAAGACAAAGAGTTGAGGTGGAGTGTGAGGAGGCAGATGGAAGACCTTTTGCTCTAGGAGGAAATAAGTTGGAGACAGAAATCTAGGTGCAAATGGTTAAAGGAGGGAGACAGAAACACGAGGTTTTTCCATTCTTTGGCAAATAGCAGAAGAAGGAAGAACTTCATTTCAAAATTGGAAGTTGAAGGTGAAGTAATTTCCCACCAAGCAGAAATAACAGAGGCCTTTGTAAATCATTTTAAATCTATTTTCTGAAGGCCGATAAATGTGAGGGTTTGGCTGGAAGTGTTGGATTGGCCTACTCTAATTATAGCGGATAGGGAGGGGTTAGAGAAGGTTTTTGACATAGAGGAGATTAATGAGGCATTGTTTATGATGGATATGACAAAAGCTCCATGCCTAGATGAATTCACAATGGCTTTTTATTAGGATTGCTGGGATATTGTGAAGCAGGATATTATGCGGGTCTTTGAGGAATTTCATAGGAGGGAAATAATCAATCGGGACTTAAACTCCACTTTTATTGCTTTGATCCCGAAGAAGAAAGAGACTTCACACCCTAAGGATTTTAGACCTATCAGTTTGGTGCATAGTTTGTATAAGATAATTGCAAAAGTGTTGCATCTAAGAATAAATAAAGTTCTTCCTTCTATTATTGCATCCAATCAATGAGCATTTGTGAATGAGAGGCAGATCACTGATAAAATCTTGATTGCAAATGAGAGTTTGGAAAGTTTCAAGAAGCCCAAGAAGAAGGGTGTAGTCTGCAAACTAGATTTAGAGAAGGCCTATTATCTAGTTGATTGGTTTTTCCTGGTGTAGGTGATGAGGAGTTTTGGGTTTGGAAACAGATGGTGTAAATGGATTTGGGGTTGTGTTAAGAGCTGCCACTATTCAATCTTGTTGAATGGAGCTGTAAGGGATTTCTTTCTTGCCTCGAGGGGAATAAGACAAGGAGACCCACTCTCCCCCTTCCTATTCACTYTGGTTGTAGATGTTTTRGGCAAACTGATTCATAGAGCTGATGCGAGGAACTTAGTAAAAGGGTGGAGAATAGGAAGGGAGCAAGTACCAMTAACACACTTACAGTTCGCAGATGACACAATTCTTTTCTRTGAAKGTGGGGACATAAATTGGATAGGGAACCTGAAATTGGCCATACAATTATTTGAGCAGATGTCCAATCTAAAAGTGAACTTTGATAAGAGTTGTTTGGTGGGAGTGAATTTGGAGGAGAGAGAGGTAAGTGAATATGCTGGGGTTATTAGGGTGTGCAATTTCGGATTGGCCATTGACTTATTTAGGTCTCCCCTTAGGAGATAATCCCATGAAGGACAGCTTCTAGAACCCAGTTCTAGAAAGACTTGAGAAAATGCTTGCCTCATGGAGGAAAAATTATCTTTCTTTAGGGGGGAGAATCACTTTAATTAGGTCTATCCTAGCTAACCTTCCTGTTTACTTTTTGTCGGTGTTTAAGATTCCCGCAAAGGTCTCAAGTAGAGTGGAAAAGTTAATGAGGGATTTCTTGTGGGAACCAGGAGAGGAGAAGAAAGACCATAGGGTGAGTTGGGAGGTGGTAACTAGAAGCAAGCACTTAGGAGGGCTTGGGATTGGGAATATCAGGAAAAGAAACATGGCATTGTTGGGGAAATGGTTATGGAGGTTTCCAATGGAAATGGACAAACTCTGGACGAAGATTGTGGCTAGTATTACATGGGCTGGAAGACAATGACTGGGATCCAGGAATCTTGGCAAGGACTACAACTGCTTCTCCTTGGAAAGCCATTCATGATTTGCTTTCGGTTTTCTCCCCTTGGATAAGGTATGATCTGAACTCTGGTAATCTCGTAAAATTCTGGGAGCAGCCTTGGGATGGGGACTCATCTCTGATGGACCAATTTCCCTCCTTATATGCGTTGTCAGACTTGAAGAATAAACCCATTTCTTCTTTCTTAGTTCCTTATGATTCTAATTCCAGTTTTGGATGGAATCTAGGGTTGAGGAGAACAATAAGGGATACAGATTTGGGTTGCCTGTCGTCTCTACTAGCCACCCTTGAAAAATGTTTTCTTGGACCCGAGTAAGGATGACTCCAGAATTTGGACTTCATCATCCAATGGTTCCTTCTCCTATGCGTCGTTTTTTGAGACCTTGGTCCATCTTCCTGCTCCTTTTGGCCTTTCCTTCCCTATTAATGACATTTGGAGTAAACCCAATCCTCCTCGGGTTGGTAGTTTTTGCTGGGAAACTTTCCTGGAAAGAATAAATACAACCGACTTGCTTCAAAGAAAGAGACTTAATTCTTGCTTACTTCCCAATAGGTGTGTTCTTTGTAAAGCTAATAGGGAAACGGCTTACCACCTTATGGTTACTTGTCCGGTTGCTAAGACTATTTGGGAATGGGCTTCATCCTTGTTTGGATGCACTTGAAATCCCCTCGTGAGTTTGCAAAGCTTGTTCTCTCCCTCGTTCTCTAGATGGCCTAAGAAAAGAGGGAAGATCATGTGGAGAAGCATTATAGCAGTTGTGTGCTAGTCCATATGGGAATAGAGGAACTCTAGACTTCTTTCAGACAATGAAAGATTTATGGAGAATTTAACTGAATTGATACACTTAAGGGTCAGTCATTAGCTGAAATCTTTGGAGTTTTTTTTCAGAGTTTTCCATAGCTAATCTTTTGAGAAAGTGGAAAGAAGTTGCTACCTCGGCTTAGTGCAAAAGGACCTCTAGACCTTCTTGGTCCCCCCCTCTTTCAGGATTCATGAAACTGAATTTTGATAGTTGTAGTTTAAGGAATCCTGGGCCTTCTGGGATTAGGGGAGTTTTCAGAAATGAGGCTGGGATTATTTTTGCTATGTTCTCTGGCCCTATTAGTGAGGGTGACTCTCTTAGGGTAGAGATTTTAGCAACTTTGGAAGGAATCAAAAGAGCAAGAGAATTAAACATTCGGTGCTTAATCATTGGAGGGGACTCGGAGGTGGTAATTAGGTGGTTGAAGGAAGACAACAATGGTTTGTGGAGCTACAGAAATGAAAAGAAAAAAATTTAAATGGCTGAGTAGGTATATTGAGGTGAAGTATAGTCGGGTGAAGAGAAGTGCTAATTCCATGGCTGATGGGTTAGCCAAGCAAGGGGTGGTTAAGGATTCTTTGTTTTGGGCCACTTTTTAGCTTTCCCTCTTGTTCTCTGTTGTGGGGGAGCTAAGATATTTTATCTCCCCTCTCTTGTATTCAAAGTTTCACAATTTTTATAATCTAATAAAACATTTTGTTATTGATAAAAAAAAAAAGAATCTCATGTTCTTTTTTTAGATTAATGTGGGGACTAGGGAAAGTTTATTTTCCTGGGTATCACTTATCTATCTCCTCAGTGGGTAAATAACTTTCCCACCTAGGGGGAAAGTTGCCAATACTTGAATGGAATAAAAATGCCCTTTTTAATAATGGATTTTTATGGATAAAATGGTCATTGCCTTATTTACATGAGAAATAAAAGAACATGGGTAAATGCACTTGCCTAGATAAGTGTTTCCCAAGTAATTGCATTTACTCGGATAAGTAATTTATCAAAAAATGAACAAGGCCTTGTAGAGAGATGATCTCAATGATGAGATCTTGCAAGTAAAACTGTTGCATACTTTTATAAGTAAAGCATTCAGTTAGCAAAACCGTTGCACACTCTATAAACATGAGCATCCTGTTGCACATTGGGGGACTCGGTTTGGGAGGAATACAAATACAAACTCCCTATGAATATGAATGCCCCAATGTGCAACCCTGATGTGCGACCGAATGCCCTCATGCCCAAAAGTTTTTGCTTGCAGTAAATCCAAACTTGACAAATCCTACTATCAAGGGAGCAAAGTGTTTTTCCTTTTGGGGTAAGATGGACAGTTTGGGTCCACGTTCCTCATGTTGAGTATAACCATTTATGTGTCTTTGTTCAAATATTTCTTGACACCTTTGCATTTCACAAA